CTCTCGTCGTCTCTCTCTCTCTCTCTCTCTCTCTCTCTCTCATTTGCATACTCTCCCCCATATTGTCACTACTAGTTGATATTGCAGCATTACAAAGTTGTATATATGATTGAACTAGACCCAGTTATAAGATGAAAATAATGACGTAGGAAACCCGAGTATGTCCCTGTTTTTGAGGAAGTTGGTCTCGTCTGTTTTTCCTTATTTTTTACTCTCGAGTTATACTATTTTTTACTGTCTCCTCTCTCTTATGAAGTTCAGGAAATTCTAGCATTACAAAGTGGTATAAGTATGAACTACTTAACAGAATAAGATGAAAATGGATCCGTGGGAAACTTCAAGGATGTTCCTGATATTAAGGAAGTTGGTATGTTGTACTCAATTTATCATTTTTACTCTCTCTCGGAGGCACTGTTTGCTTTCCTAGTCAAATTGTAATTGTAATTGTAATTTGGGCCTATTTGAAAATTTCTCCCCTGCCCTTAACCTGAAAAGATGTTTGATTTGCAAATTTGAAATGATTTTTAACGGCTCCTAGCCACCACTCCAATACCACCAACACCACCTAGCCACAGCTACACCACCACCACTGTCGCCAGCCGCAATGCAGGCCCACTGCCTACCCCTGCCACCACCACTCCACTATCACCTCCATGCCACCATTACAACCAGCCTTCTCTACTACCTCTGCACCACCACTATGCAGCTGCCGCCACAACCACAACAGCATAGCTGCCGTAACAACCACAACCACCACTCTTACCATCACCAGTCCACCACCATTGCCTCCCTGCTGCCACCACCACCACCATTATCATCACCACTCTAACACCACCTCGCTGTCACTGCCACTACCTACCATCATTCTCTACCAACACTGCATCACTGCTCACTCGCTACCACCACCACTCTACTGCCTGCCCCCTACCACCTCCACTGCCATCTCCATAGCCACCACTACCACCACGACAACACCAGCACTACTTGCTCCTGTATAACCACCACCATCATCGCATTGCCACCGCCTACAATGTTACACTATGCCACCACCATCACATTATCTCCAGCATTACAATCACACCATATAATAATAATTTATAATTCAAAATGTAAATCAACCACTTACAGAGACCAACTGACAGCAACATTTGGTCAATTGCAAATTGAAAAACAAAACATTATCTAAAAAAGTTTCAATCAAACAGTCCCTCGGTTGTTGGTGCTTTTAGCACATGCTGCAACATATGTTTTATCAGAATGCGAAAAATTGCCCATCCTACTCAGAAATGCCCAAGTCGGATTAGGATCGGGGATACCCAATAGAACCCCTGGGTAAGCAAAAACATGCTTTTATAGCTTGTTTTGTCTTCTTTGATCAAATAATTCGATCGCAACATACTTGAACCCTCGTCTTGATGGATTGTTTTCACAAGTCAATCTTAGCCCTGAGACAAAAAAGCAATTTTTTTTGGATTAAAACTTGCTTTGGACAAAATTGTCATCAAAATCTCATCAGTTTTTAGCCTCAAAGCCCCGATTCAATTTCTTTTTATTTATTTATTCTCAACTCAACCATATCATATTTTAAATTGATTATTTTGGAGTCCTATAATCGATGCCTAACATAATTTGTTGAATCAAATCACCAGTTGGGAATGACCTAGCCTCAAGAATTTCAGCTCTTTTGAGTCCTGAGCTCAAATGCGTTGATTTTTTGTGTTTTTCTCCACAATGAGTGTCCCTAGAAGGGGTTAGATTCAATCTACAACATGATATTTTATTTTTAAATAAATTTTTATTTCAACGTTTTTAGCTGTTTTCTATTTTTCGTAAGAAAGGCTCTAATCAAAAGCTGCCTTTTTTTTTTTGTAAGTATTACGTTTAATTTATTGGGGTTCTTGAAAGAGAATACATTATGGATGATTTCGATAATTTTTTGTTTGTTTTTCTCTGATTTCAAAAGAATTTGATTTTTTTGCTTGGTCTTTTATCAGGATAATTATAGTCTATTTACTATGAGCCCTCATGTTGTTATGAAGAAATTTAGAGGAGAATGTTTTTTTGGAAAACTCACCACACCATAGAGAAGGTTGTGTTCTTTTATATTTGGTAAAAAACCTTGACCGACTCAATTAAGGATTCTGTAACGTCAATCTTTACAAATATGGATAGATGTTACAATGTGAAGAGATTACAATAAAATCAAATGTAGTTTGTTGGATCTTTTTAAATCATTTCTAATACTCCCCTTCAAACTATTGTCTTTGTAAAACGTAGACAACTTGTTTTCTATTGAACGATGCTGAGAAGTAGGAAGGCCTTTTGCAAACACGTTAGCAAGCTGAGAAGTAGTAAGGCCAAGCTGCTCCATCGTTAAATCATAGGCATAATCTCTCTGCTTTCAACAATTTCTTGAATAAAATGACAATCCAGTTCGATATGCTTAGTTGGTACATGAAGAACTAGTTTGATAGTAAGCTTTTATTGTATTCTAATTATTACAATGAAGAATTGCATGTTCAATTTTGATACCCAATTTTGATAGAATGTGGCAGTACTTAGTGATTTCAGCAGCAGCGAAAGACATTGCATGATATTTTACTTCTAAGCATGAGTGTGAAACTTCCATTTGCTTTTTACTACTCTAAGATACCAAAGACCCAACAAAGAAAATGCAAAATCTTGATATTAGCTTTATTGTATTTAGATCTATAACCTAGTTAGCATCAGAATAAGCGATGAGATTAACTTCTCTTTTACCAATAGAAAAGGAAAAACCACCACTCAGGGAACCCTTCACATATCGGAGAATTCTTTAGCTGCTTTGAGGTCCACTTATTGAGAATCATGCATAAATTGGTATATTTGATTGACAACATAACAATATCTAGTCGAGTGAACTTAAGGTATTATAAAAAACCAATAAGGCTTCTATACTTTCTCATATCATGATTAAGATCACCATCTCTACAAGATAATTTTTGTATGTGACCATTAGTTTTGGTGATGGTTTACAGTCACTTATTCCAAATTTTCTTCCTAGATACAATGTATACTTGTGTTGTGTCAATTTCATGCATGGTCTTGTGTGCTCGACTTCCACACCTAGGACATACTGTAGATTACCAAGATTCTTCATAGCCAATTACATTATGAGTATTACCTTTGGCTGCTTTATTTTGCCCTAATTATTCCCTGTTACAGTGATCATCAACATAGAGAAGCGGCATCACTATTTTTTGTTTTTCTCTTTTGATAAATAGGAGGTTGTTTGCAATATTTTATGAATAACTTCTTCTAAGAAGAGCTTTCCAAAAGCTTTCAAACCAAAGCTCTTGGAGCTTGTTTAATACCATATTTATTGCCTTCCCCAATCTACACACAAGGTCAGACCTTTTTGGTTCCTTATACCCCGATGGTTGCTTCATGTAAACTTCTTCTTAGAGATCACCATACAAAATGGAAATTTCTACATCTAACTGATGTGACCTCCAACAATAGGGATTAGCCATTGGCGATGCTACTCTTGTAGTACCCATATTTACAATTGGACTAAAGGTCTCTTCATAGTCCAACCCATACTTTTGACAGTAGCCTGTAGCTACCAATCTGGTTTTATATCATTCAATAATGCCATTAGCCTTGTACCTTATCTTATAGACCCATCTACATCTAACAACATTCTTATTTTTTGCCTATATGACTTCTCTCTAGGTATTTGATTTTGAATGCTTGGTAAGTTTAATGAGAAATTAATAATGTTTAGAGAAATGTTCACAATATGGTGCCCAATCTTCTATATGAAAGGACCTTCGTAGCAGAACATCTCAAAAGGATTGACGTGGGTGATTATCAGGGATTGAAATACTTGAAGTACTTTTTTGGAGGGATTAAAATCTTCACCACCACCCAGTACTTAATCAATAGCTCCATCTACCAAAAAGTCAGAACCACTATGCGGCGGCAACAATTGAGATCTACCCGATAACGCTTGCTTATCCTACCCACAGGAACAACATATTTTTTCTTGATTCTATTGTCATGCTGGTGTCTTAAAATCACTCAAAACAAGAGATGTCCAACTGCATGGCCTGACCACCCCTCATTCTCTCAAAGATTGGATAAGAATCTTTGTTAAGAGGATTGGGTGGCCCTTGCACTCACAACAAGCTCTCTCTCATTGGTTACGTTATGATATGAATGAGACCATCATTGTGTTGCATCTCTTTCTAATTGAGGGGCACACTCCACCTAAAACACCAATGCTTCAATCCCAAAAAGTTTTGTGGACTCGAACCATGTCAATAGAGAAGGAAAACAAATGCCACTTATAGGGACAGTAATAATACATGCAACTTTTATTAACCAACTATTGCAAAAGCAAGCAATAGATAAATCTAGTACTTGCTTTTCCAAGATGATAAAAGCATTCCACCAAGCCCCTTTTCTTTATTTCATTATTTTTCAGGCTTCTCCCTTCTT